TTGTATCCATTGAATGGATTCTTGGCTCTATACTGGTTGCTAGAACCTCTTTGGATATTTCTACTTTTCAGACCTTTTTCAATCCTCTCACCAACAATTACCAAGTCAGAGAATCCAGCAGAAACACTACCAATCAGCTTCTCATAGTATTGGTCTTGCAAGGTACCCATGAAGATGTCAATCAGTTCACAGTCAACCAATGGTGGAGGCACCCTTGCAGCTAATTCTCTAAAGTGTTATGCGTATTCCTTAAAGGATTCATTGTCCTTTTAAACCATACTTTAAAGTTGAGTACGATTCGGAACAAGGTCGGTATTGTATTTGTATTTCTTAACAAAAGCTTCAACTAACTCAACCCAAGTACGCACACTGTTTCACTCCAGCTGCATATACCATTCGAGAGATGCTTCAGACAAGCTGTCTTGGATGCAATGCATTTTGAGCTTTTCGTATCTGGCATAGGCAACCATCTTGCGATCGTACATCTTCAAATGAATGTTTGGACATCTTAGACCTTTGTACTTTGAGAATTCTAGCACTTTGAACTTGGGAGGAATGACAACATATGGCACCAAGTACATCTCTAGAGCATTCAAGGATGTTAAGTTATGCCCTTCTATGACTCGGACTTTTCCAGCTAGATCACGACACATCTTGAGGGCTTCAGAATCCTGAGCAGCAACGGAATTGGTAATGGGGATAGCAACATGATAGTTTTGCATCTCATCATATTGATCTTGCAAATTCTCTTCAGTATGAGGAATGAAGATCTGAATGACAACAGGTTGGGCTTACGGGATGGCTCAAATAGTAACTCCAAGTGTTGGAAATGGTTGAGAAGTAGCTCCTCCAGTGGCAAAAGTGAAGTTCATTGGTATCCCATAATTGTTAGGGTTGGGAACAGGAACTGAGAGCCTTGAGGTAGATCCTTGGACAGGCACATTGTTGATTATGGCAGCAGCTTCACGCAGTTCTTCTTCCTTTTTGGCCATAGTGATGGCTTCGAGAATCTGGTCGATCTTGCCTTTGATAGAGTCCAACTCCTTTCTAAAAGTAGCTTGCTCTTGTTTAATTTGCTTCATCACTCATCTGGTGTCGGCTCGAGTTGTGTACTGGTGTCGAGGAATCAACTTGATATACTGGAGATGAAGTGAGGTTATGTTGTTGAAATGAAATGCAATACGCATACCTGATGCAACACAATGCAATGACATATATGCAAGATGTAAGGTCCAGGATTGCATGATCGGACAATTTTGAGGATGGCTGGAGGAATGGGTCAACAACCAATGTCTCTGATCAAAGAAACCCCACAGGTAGGTTCTAAGATGGGTAAGTGCCTAAAGTCATGGATATCTTTTCAAAGATGTTATAACCATGGAAAAGGTTCACCACGACAATAATATCCTCAAAAGGATCTCCTCTAGGTGAGGTCTTCGTATCTTCCCCACGAGAAAGCTCCTCGAAGGCATTCACTACACAATCATCGACACGCGGGTTCTAAGATAGGTTATCAGAGTCATAGATCAAGGTTGAAAATATTACTTTCAGGAAGTAATACTTTCAAGGGATCTTATTTGATTGAGGCATTGGTATTAACCCAAAAGGAGTCAAAACTACCAACCATCATGGATTGAATGAGTTAATGGTCCTTGGGGTCAACAATTCAGGCTCAAAAACATTATTTCCATGGCAAAGGCTCACCACAACAACAACATTTCCAAGGGAATCTACTCCAAGCGGGGTTTTCATATCAGCCTCACGAGGAAGATACCACGAAAGTCTCCACTACACAACCACCATCTTAATCCTAGGTTTTTACTCAGAATCGGGTGTAGAGCCATCTTATAAAGTACCCAATATCAGAGAAGCCCAATAATGTCACAATAAGCAATAATAACAAAGATAAGAATAGGAAAGCACATAAACGGATAGACGAGAAGAAAATAAATAAGCGAAGTTGATAAGCTCACAACTTGAACTAAGATAGGCTTGACTTTCTCTTGCATGGGGCAATGTATTCCCCAGCAGATCCGCCAACTATTGCACCTCGAAAAATTAAAATACAACCCTCGCGCAAAAGGCACAGAGAAATCACTCGACAGATTCGCCACCAAACTTTATTTATCCCAAAAGAGGGAAAGGAAAATATCAAGAAAATCTTTAAGGAGATAAGAGCATGGTAGTTGCAACCACATTCTGGGTTCGGGAGTCGGTTACGTAAGAGGAAGGTATTAACACCCCTACGTCCGTTGTACTCAACGGGAACCTCTTAGTTTGAATTATGATGAACGTTAGCTAAGCTTATTTATTTTCTTCTAAATGAGTAAAGCAAAAATAGTACGATGAAAGGAAATCAATGCTAAGGGGAAAATGGTAGTTTTAGGATAAGGTGCTCGCCAAGGATTGAGGCCCTTGTGCCTACGTATGCTCATTCGGACCAGAATGACGAATCAGAGCAATCTTGGAAGTGTGCTGCCAAGATCATTGCAATATTGTGCCTACGTATCTTGCATTCTAATGAATGAAGAATAAGAGCATTTGCAGTTCATGGATTCGACCATGAAAAGAAAGTGTTTAATGTGTTGGAGTTTAGTTTGGGTGACGATTACTAGAAGCTTAAGAAAGGCTCCTCTGGCCCAAGTAATCGGGAGAGTAAATTGAAGACTCGACTCTCTCTCTTTTTCATCTTGAAAAAAGGTTGTGTTTGAAAAGTGTTTTGAATGACAAATGGTTGGAATATAGTTTGGTTGTTGTCTAGTTGGAAGTGTTTTAGAGGCGTCAATTGCTCACACACGAGTAAGAGAACTCGCGCCCAAATAACTGAAGAGAGATCAAAGGCTCAACCTCCCTCTTTTTCACCTTGAAAAGAGTTCCGATAGTTGTTAATCATTTTGAAGTTTGATTAAGAAAATCTGCTTGATGTTGGATCAAGGGTTTTATTGTATTTACATGGGAAGAAGTTGAAAAGATGTTGATTGCGAGGCAAAGGGTACTCGTCTTAAAAGGTTGATTTGAAAATGGCTCGACGAAGAATCTAGGGTTTGCAAAAAGAGTGTGAATCGATCCTAGTCCTTAGGGGTGCTCTTAGTAACGAAACCATGATGAAAAGTGCAAGTGTGTGCATTAGGTTGATGGCGATGCTTACGAGCATTCGACTTATAGGGATGTTTTGAAAATAACTCGAAGACGAATCGAGAATTAGTTTGAAAATGGTTTAGTTTATGCTAGTCCCTAGGGGTTCTCGTAGTAAACAAACCACAATCAAAAAAGAGATTAAATCGCATACATCAGAATAGAAGCAGGGTACATGTAATTTACATGGGATTGCACAAAATAAACGAGGTCATTGTCAGGTAGCCCAAGAGGATCTTGTGTTTGTGCAAGGTGTCCTAAACTAAACCACGAGCAAGAGTTATACAAAAATCTCCTTGCTAGGGTTTTTGTATAAAGTCCAAGTTCTGTTACTCGAAATAGTAACTAGCAGTCCACCAATTGAGTCTTTTAGGGTTTCAATATTTTTAGTGTGTTTTTGAATGGCATGAACAAGGTATAAACAATATGATAATATGACAAGATGAATAATATGAACATGTGAATAATATGAACAAGATAATAATATGGACAAGATATATTGATGGAAAAGTAAAATAAGAGTATATTGGACAAAAATTAAAGTTAGTGGTTAGTGATTAATCGTTAATTGTCAATTGATCAAATGAATCAGGTTGACTTTAGCGCTAAATCATCGTAGCACGATTTATGATGAAGATCATGCTATAGGAGGTCACGCAAGTATGATATTTGTGCTAAAACACGATGGAGAAGTGATATTGTGAATCATTCTCTAAGGAAATTGTGCCACACGAAAAGAAAAGCGGATGATCTCGTCTTAATCACAAAGTTGCGTTGATTAATCAAAGGTAACCTATCATGATCCCAAAGTATAGAAAATGATCTCAATGATCATTTTCTACAGATTTGAAATCATGAAGATTAAACAACCTCAATTAACCAACATTCGCGATATTAAAGACTTCATCGATCGAAAATTGAAAAAGAAATGAAAATAAAACAACTTAAATAATGAAAACGAAATCAAAAGGAGTTAAAATGTGGACTCACAAAATCAAACAAACTTAAAAAAACTACTAATATATAATCATGACCAAAAACCAAGCAAATAATTAAGAAAAAAAATAATAGATGGGGGTGCGCCTGGATTCATAAGTGGTGTGAACTAGAAATGACAGATGGGCTTCAAATCCCATTTAACTAAAACCAAGCCAGGTGTGTGGATTGGAAACAAATTGTGCGTGTAGCAAAAATACGGGCCTAAAGCTCATTAGCTCAAATCCACATAAAAACTATCAGATAGTTTAAAACAAACCAAAACCATGAAAGCAGCACAGGAATACGGAAACCATGGTCAAACTTTTTCTTCTTAACACAAAACAAAGCACAAAGGGAAACAAACATCACAGTAAAAAGAAAAACACATCGAATCACCCTTCAACCTTCTTCATTCTCGCTTCGTCTTTTACTCGATGTCGATTCTCTTTCAACTCTCTCGTTCGAGCTTTGTCTTCTCGGTTTAGGTTTGAAATTATGTGTTTGGTTTGAAATTTTATCTCTTTATCTCTTCTTCTCCGTTTCGTTTTTATTCTGAAATCGGTTTTGATTTTGAGGTGAGTGTTCATTGTTGTTGGATTTGAGAAGGGAAGGTGTCGTTTTAGGTTGTTGTTGTGGATATTTTTCAAGATTTGAGGAAGGTTTGGGTTGTTAGGTTGAAGAAAGATTGATGAAGAGTTGGATAAGAGTGAGGTATGATGATGAAGAAGGAAGTCGGTTGAATTGATTTGGAGTGAATTTTGGCAGGGTGACAATGGCCGCGAGCTTCTCCCAAACGAATGAAAGGAGATGCTTATTTATATAGTGGGTTTGAAGGGTGAATTTAGGTCGTGATGTTTTTTTGCCGCAGTTTTCGTTTATAATTGTACATGGTCATTTTTGTTGATGTGCGTATTGGACATGTCACTAGTTGTTTTGGTCATTCTGTTGTGAGAACGCGACTTGGTTTTGGGACGAGTTTCACATCTATTTCAGCTGGGTGGAAAGGTTTACGTGGTTCAGTTTTGAGCTGGAGGTGGAATTGTGAATCATGTTTTATTAATTTTGTGCAGGTACAGGTTTATGATTTCACGAGAAAGTTTGAGTCGACAACTACGTTTACATTGTGGTTAGGTGTTGAGTGGATTAGCCACGACTAGTTGTTGTGTTGCACATTTCTAGTTTTGCGGGTTTGTGAGGTTTTATGTGTGGTCTTGGCTTTGTTTTATGTAGGATGGTTCATACAAATCGTTTGAAATAAGGTGATGCAAGTATTTTTTATACAAGAATTATGCGCTGCATATTGGAATTTTTTGGCTTGTTTATTGTTGAAGATAATTGTGAGGCTTAATCAATATCTTGTAGGGGGCTTTATTTGTGTACTGAAATTTAACTTAATGTGACAAGGAAATTGAAGGCTTGTGAATGTATTTAGTGTGATGTAAGTTTGGTTCAATGTAATTATCACGTGGCCTTTTATTGTAGGATTCATGGGCTTTTGATATTTGTAGCATGAACTTGGTAAACACTTAAATGTAGACTTTCACATGGTGATTAGGAATTTGATTTTGGCACCCCCATTTGACTTTTTCTTGGATTGCTTTGAACTTTATCTTGAACATGAATAATACTTTCTCATGGTAATTTGATAGTTGTTCGGGTGGCGTAACCATGACTTGTGAATTTGGATTAGAAAGAAACTTGAACAATTAAAACTTGAGTTTTCCAAGTTGATCTCATTAAAATCAAATTCCAACCTCTTGAATTTTTCACTAAAACTTGAATTGAACCCCATTGAATAAAGTAGTACCATAATCCATGTAGAATTTGAGATGAATCAGAACCTTGCATTAAAATGAATCCACTAAATCTTTCACATGAACCAAATGTCCAGTAAGCAATATGCCTTGAAATCTGAAGATAATGATTTGTCATATGGACCTTAAAACTCTAACTAGAAAGTAATATGAATTATGATGATTCCTCAACTATGAAGCATTGATAACTTGACACAGCCGGACATCTTACTCACATGCACCCTAATTGGAGCTTCACACATACACCATCTGAATCAATCACACCCAGACTTTGATCTAAAAAACAACTTGTCTGCCCACTGAACCTCAATCACTATTACAACTAGAAACAATATATTTTTTGAATTTTCTGAATAATGGTTAGTGGCTGGATGTACAAATGAAAGTTATACACAAGTAGGACAAATTTGGGGTATGACACATACCCCAATTTTGTCCTACTTATATATTACTTTCATCTGTACTTCCATCAACTAACCGTATTCAAAAAGTCAAAAATATGTCACTTCCATTTTCATTTTCATATTGCCTAAGTTTATGCTTTATTTAAGGGTATCTAGTCAGAAGCGTGTGCAATATGGATTGAGTTTCATCTGATTTGACCTAATCTTGGTCAGGCAAGAATTTATTTCAAGATCAAGGCCAGAGTGCATTAATCTAGGTGATGTGTGTGTGAGGATCAAATTAGGGTTGTGTGCCAATTTAAGTCTGTTTTGGATGGATCAAGTTCTCAAATTGTACCAAGGAAAGTGCTTCATGGTTGAGAATTATCAGAATTCAATTCATCTTTAAATTAGGACTTTGGTGTATTGATGTGCATATTCTCAAGATGTAATCCTCTAATTTTTAAGGCATTGTTCCTGTTCTTTTGGTTCATGGTGAGGAGTTTGGTATTATGATTCAGGCAACAACAATTCAAGGGTTCATTGTTATCTAAAATCAAGTCAAAGGTCCAAGTTCATCCAAAGTTCAATTCCAATTCAAGTCCGAATCAAGTTCCAATTTCAATTTCAATTTTATATCAAGTTTCCTTTTCCTATTCAACATTCAATCTTTACATCATTCCAAGTTTAAACTTAATTTCTAATCAAAGGTTCAATTGCAATTCGATTCAATTTCCATACAAAATTCAAATGGATACACTCATACAAAAAATTTCAAGAATATACATTGGATCATTATTACAAAAAGAGAGAAAACTTCATGGAATTTGTACAAAATAAGATAATTCCAAAGCCCATTCCTATTTTCTTTATTTTTAAAATCCCATTTCAATAAAACACAAAAATTAATACAAAAACCAAGACCTATAAACAATTTTTTTTACAATACACACATCACCTAATAGCCATGCTACCCCACATGATTCAACAAGCCAGACCCACATAACAGACCATCACAGCCACCAAGCATCGTGCCATATTGTCTGCTACTACACAACGCATAAAAACAATAAACTCACAACACAACAAAATCCCACACCATGTTGATACCACAAACAAAGCCAACACACCAACGAGAAGCCTCACGACATGATATGCAAGACACATATAATACAATCCATGCCTGCAATTCTAGCCAAGCCATCAATCTCATGCAAATGAGCTAAAAATTCAACACAAGCCTTACACAATGCAACACCAAAAACAAGTCGTGACATAATATAATTACAACATAAATTCTGCAGACACAAACCATCACGTTTGTACCATACACCTTGCATTTGCTCTAATCACCCAACCTGCACAAGTATCACATGAGGACCTCACAAGAATATTCTCTTAAAATTACCTGCATGCAAGTAAAATTACGGAAAGCAACTCCGGAAACTGTTACGCAAAACGACAATCGGAAATGGCGACATTCACAAAATGCTGCAGCATCATCCAAATTTCACAACAAAATTCCACCTCCATATCTTTATAAATTGAACCCAAACCCTCACTCAAAAACAAATTTATTATAGCCACAAGAACTCTGCTGAAATCTCTCCCCAAAACCGAATCCTCACACCTTAATACATCTTCACCACTCATCTTCATCAACTCACAATCAAAATAATAACACAACCACCCCTCCTTCTTCTCAGACCCGAGAACCATAAATCCAAACACCATTCCTCAAATTTCTTTAACCCACTTCAAACCTTGAATCAAATCCAAACAAACCCCAGATCAGAGAAAGAAGAGGAAGGGAGATTAAATGAAATCGTGAAACAAAACGAAATTGAGATGGACCTTAAACTGAGCGAAACCGAATGCAAATACGAACTTGGTGAAGCGATTGAAACGAGGTGATTGAAAGTCGAATTGTGTAAAGATTTTGTGTGCGTTTTCTTCTTTGTTTGATGCATGTTGCTTTTCTTTTTGTTCTCTTGACGATGTGTTATTTGTTTTTGGAATATATTTGATATCAATGAAGTTTCTAGTTGTGTTGTTTTTAAAGTTCATTTGCATGATTGTTGATGGACCGAGCCAGGGTATTATGGCCCATGTGGTCATTCATTATAGCCCATTGCCCTTTTAATACATCACCATACATATTTCTTATAAACAAACTGTGTGAGGTGACGGGCTTTAAGCCTATATGATCCTTTTTTCTCATTCTCACCCTCATTTCTAATTTTACACTCCCTCCCCTTATTATTTTATTTTTGTTATTTATAAGTGTTTTTTTAACAAACTTTTTTTTCTTTTCTAATTTCAGTTTTCTTCTTAATTTTCAAACACTTGTTTGTAGTATTTTACTTTGATTTCTCTTGTTTTTTTCCTCCTCGTTAATTTCTATCTCGTTCATTTCATTTTACTACTTTTTATTCTCCTTTGGTCGATGAACACCTAAGAGTCGTGGATTGTCGATTTATCGATGAAAATCCATGATTAAGATTAGACCATTTTCTTGTATTACTTATCTCATTCCATTTCCATTTCATATTAACCTCTCCTTTTTATTATCGATTTTGGTCGATGAAGTCTTTTTATTCATAAATGTTGGTTGAGTGAGGTTTTTTAACCTTCATGGATTCAAATCTGTAGAAAATGATCATTGAGGTCATTTTATATACTTTGGGATCGTGATAGGTTGCCTTCGATTAATCGATGAAAGTTTTTGATTAAGACGAGATCGTCTGCTTTTCTTTTCATGTGGCACGATTTCTTTAGAGAATGATTCATAATATCATCTCTCTATCGTGTTTTAGCATAAATATTGTTGATTGTGTGACCTCCTATAGCATGATCTTTGTCATAGATCGTGCTAGGATGGTTTAGCACTATAGTGGACCCGATTCATCTGATTCTTAATCATTAACATTAACTTTAAAATCCATCAATATATTCTTGCTTTACTTTTCCGTCGATATATCTTTCTCATATTATTATTGTTCATATTACTCATTGTTAGAAAGTATTTAGGGGTAGTGTTTTATCGTATCCATAGGGATTGATGAGAATATAGATGCTTGCCATTCAATGGTTTAATGATTTAAGAAAGGGGGTTTTTAAAATGGTTTCTATTTTCGTAAGAAGGGTTTGCAAGAATTAAAACAAAATAAAATTCAGTCTAAGTTTGATAAAAACATGTCAAGATTAGGGTTCGCTAATTCGTCCTAAACGTATCCAACCGATCGAATATGTGAACGAAGTTTTAACCAACATAACCGCGTATCCTTGCAAAAAAGTTCATTTCTAAAGCGATTTCGTGAATGTTATTGTTTCGACTGTTAAATGATCTCTCTAAATAACACTCGAAACAATAATCATTAAGATTAATACAAAGCGAATATCAACTTTCAAACCTATATCTAGAATCTGTATAATTGATAGATGAAGAAATTAGGTCAAGACTTGGAAAGTTCATGTCTAAAGCAATCCATATCATAAATGTATAAAGAGTAGCAAATAACTTCATCTATATTGATCACAACATTGTTCACATACAAAAGATAAAAAAGAATACATAAAATCTGAACTAACTACCTCTAACCTTGACAAGAGAGGGATTTAGCCACTCATTTCCATGATAGCTTGAACAACAAGTTTCGAAAGAAGGTTTATCAACATCCGAGTCGAATAATCGAGATTGGATGGGAATCCACCTTCTTTTTGTGAAATATTACTAAGAGATGATGAGAAATGGAGAGGCAAGTTTTTAGGTCTGAAAATCCTCTCAAGATAAAGTACAAAAATAAAGATATTTTTCTCAAAAAGTAGTCCATACTACTTATAGAAGGGCTGTTGAGCTGTCATGTTCGCAGTGCGAACAAAGTGTTCGCCGATCGAACGACCAAAATGGCACCTGAAGTGCCTATGTCCTGAGAAAACTCCCCAGGAAAAATTCCACATGTTCACTGTGCGAAGAATTATTCGCAGTGTGATTCCTTCACTGAGAACTTCGCACAACGAATTCTTATCCAAGTACCTAATGCCTCAAGTCTAGGAGTGTTTGCTA